GAAAAGAAAAATTGCTTTAAAAATATAAGGGACCATGAGAAATCAATCCAGCAGCTGCTAGATGATGCAAAGAAGAATAACATAAGACTGATCAGGGTCAATGAAAAAATAGGAGAGAGTGCCACACACACACACACACACACACACACACACACACACACAAAACTGTTGTTTTTTTGGGGGGGGGAACCGGGGATCGAACTCGGGACCTTGGACTTGTGAGGCATGCAGCAGAACCACTGAGCTACATCCCCAGCCCCACACACAACTGTTTTAACATTACTCTTTTTAAAAATGCCACAGTGGGCCAGGGATGTAGCTCAGTGGTTCCGCTGCCTGCCTCGCAAGTGCAAGGTCCCAAGTTTGATCCCCAGTTCCAAAAAAAAAAAAAAGCCACAGAGGCATTAGGGGTCACATTCCAAGAGTGATTGTCCCCAAATCTGGCATCTGTAGTGAGTCCCCAGCCAGGGCTCCACCCCAGGTGACAAGCCGTTCCAGCCATGGCTGGCTGGGATCCTGACAGATCAGTGTCCCCAGCAAGGGCAGGGAGGACTGCAGAGTCTTCAGGGTTATCTCCTGCCCCATCCTGTCCCAGCCCCCACACTCACTGTCGGAGCAGCTGCCGTCCCTCCTTCCACACCAGAGGGCTGTTCTCCAGGGTGACTGACTCCACAGGGCCATTGGGAACTGGGACAGGAAGAAAGGAAGAGGCTGCCTCAGAGCACTGCCACTCACCCATCACCTCACCCACCTTCCTCACCCCTGGCCCAAATCTATCCCTGACACCAGTGCTCCATGTCACTTCTTGAGTATACTAAACCCACTCTGTTTTCTGGAATTGTGTGTGTGTGTTTTGAGGCAGGGTGATATGTAGCTCAGGCTGGCTTTGAACTCACTATGCAGCCCAGGCTCACCTTGAACTTGGGGTGATCCTCCTGCCTCAGCCTTCTGAGTGCTGGGACTACAGGTGTGTGCCACCATGCCCAGCTGTTCTCACTAATTCTTACTCCTGGAAGCACTCATCTCCGGTCTCCTGACCATCATTCCCCAAACCACCCCCAGATAAGAGCAGACTGTACCTTCAATGGCTGGGAGGTTATTTTCCCAGTTAGAAGCTGCCCTGGTTCTAGGAGAATGATGGGCAGCTCTGCCACTTTCCACACCACTGTAGGACCCAAGCAGCAGGTTAGCTCACCCACCTAAGCCTCGGCTTCCTCTACTGGAAACAAGGGGAATAACAGCATCTACCTCTTGGGACTGCGCTGAAGATCCAGTTGGATAATCTGTTTAGTGTTTTACTCATCAAGTATTCACTGGCATCTGAGCTGTGCCTGACTAGAGGCTGGGGCTACACAGCCCTGTCTTGTGGAACTTCCATCATAACTGAAGGAATCTGACCTGAGGTAATAATCACTTGCAGCCTGGCAGGCAAGACCTCTGCAGCTCTGCTCGGCCAAGCTTCAGTGTTACCAAGGCCAGCCCGTGGTGCCCGCTGCACTGACCATCGCTCCAGGGACACAACTGACTCCCTGTCCTGACACTCCACCCTCCCTCACCTGGGACACGACCCTCACTCCCTGCCCAGGGAACTGACTCTCGTTTCTAGAGGCTTAGACTACAAGAGCCCAGAGGGCAGAGACCATGTCTATCTTCTCTCCACTGTGTCCTTGGTTCTGTGACACAAGGCCAGCACCTCACAAACTTTTCTTGGAAGAATAATTGAATAACAACCCAGTGCAAACACTGCCTCTTCAATGAAGTCTTTCCGAGCTTTTCACAGCACCCTATAAATAGCTGGCTCCTTCTCCCCACAGGAGTAGGCAATGTGCTGCCAGCAGCGGCTCATCCGGCTCATGAGGAGAGGGACCTCACCCCTACAGGGGGCCAGCACAGTGCCAGCCAGGGAGCGGATTTAGAGTCCCCTCTTCTCCCAGCCTGGGAAGCTTGAGCAGCCAGGGGCTGGGGTACCTTGTTCTGGCAGATCTGGTTTCTTCTCCCCCTGGTTCAGGTCTGTCCCAAACTTCAGTTTATGATATTTGGCCCTAAACAAGAGAGATTACTCAGTAAAAGACCTGACCAGCAGCCACCTCAGGAAACCCCAATCCCAGAGCTTCCCACATCCACTTGTGTCTCACACACACACCCAGCTGCCTGCAGAAGGTGGCATGGAGACACAGTGGTGCAGCCAGCTCTTTGGAGTCAGGCCAGCTGCCATGCCGGTCCTGAGGTCTCCCTTCCTTATGGGAAACAAAGCCAACAAGATCCAGCAGGCAGATGGGGTATGGGGGAGAGGGTGAATGCCCAGGATGTAGCACACAGGGGGCCGCCATCATCACGAATACCACTCTGATGCCAACTCTGAATCTTCTACCTTGCCTCGCTTCTCGCTTCGAGCCCTCCCCTGGAAGACAGGACCCCAAGCAGGCAGTCGCCCTTGAAAGGCAGGGTGGCTGGCACAGCACAGGGCTCACCTTTCCTGCTTCAGCGCGTATTCTAACATCTTGATCCGCCGCACCAGGTCTGTCTTTAGATTCTCCTGCCCTTTCCGCTCTCCCTGGAGAAAGGCCACCTGAGCCTAGGGGAACAGAAGGAAGAGGAGCAGTGGAGCTCAAGCTTGGTGATGGTCAGCCCCTTACTCACTCAGCACGGCTCCAGTCCTGACCCCACAGTGATGCCAGGGTTCAGTGGAGCACTTAAAAAGCAAGGCTGGCTGGCTCTGTCTCCAGTGTCCCCAGCCATGTCATCCACAATGAAAGAGCTGAAGACTTTTTTTTTTTGGTACCAAGAATTAAACTCAGGACCTTGCACTTGCCAGGCAGGCATGGTGCCACTGAACTAAATCCCTAGCTCAAGACTTCTCAACTCATGAAATTAAAACTGGGCCAGCTAGGCATGGTAGCACACGCCTGTAATCCTAGCACTTGGGAGGCTGAGGCAGGAGGCCAGCCTAGGCTACATAGTAACTTCAAGGCCAGCCTGGGCTACATAGTAAGACCCTGTCTCAAAAAGCAAAAATAAAACAAAACAAAACAGGGCCAGCATGGGCTAACTTAGCTGCTGCTGTGGGAGAAGTCAGGTCTGGGACTGTGGGCGGGGGGATGGATGCTAACAGCCTGACCTCCCCCTCACATACCCCCATCAGCTGCTATCCCTCAGGTTGTTGGTGGAGGTGGCAGCCCACTATTCCTTCCAGAGCATCTGTTTCCCAGAGGCGTAGGAAGGTACTTCTGGAGCTCAGGGACAAGAGTGGGTGGCTCAGCTCAGCTCCCGCTGCAGCGCAGGAGCTTTACCACCCGACCCCCACCAGCCCCACTATGTGGACCATCCATCCCGACGTCTGCCCCAAGTGTGAGAATGGCCCAGGCTCCTTCCAAGCATTTCACACCGTCTGTTCATTTGTCAACAGGCCTTTTGGAAATACTGTAGCAATGGCCCTCGAGGCAGGATCCTGGCCCCTAACCATGTTCTCGAAGCCCTTTAGCCAAAGCCCTGGCACAGGGCTCATTCCTGGCTTTTCCCTGAGGGCTCCACTGGTCCAGCAGGGACAGTGTGAGCATGAGATCCGGCTAAGCCATTTACTTGCTCCATAAGCTTAGGTAGGTCATTGAGCCTCCATCTGCCCCTCCAGAAACTGGGATGTATAGGAGTCCTTCCCCTGTGTTCAGTTCTCCATGGAGGCCTAGCTCAAAATGAAGGCTAACTCGGGGCTGGGGATTTAGCTCAGTGGTTTCGCCGCCTGCTGCGCAAGCGCAAGGGCCAGGGTTTGATCCCCGGTACCAAAAAAAAAGAATGAAGGCTAACTCACAGCTCCTACCTCTAACTCTTGTCATTTTTGTTTCTGTCTATTCTTTCACAACTTCAAAATGAGCACAGCTTTCTGAGATACAAGGCCAATTGGGTAGAAATGCTGTGGACTGGGGCCCCCCTGCCCTTGTGGACAGCTCAATCTTCCAGCCACCAAATTGCCTGGGCATCATGAGCTTTGAGAGCTCCACCAGAAGCTCCCAGGCTGACCCAAGACACCTCCTCTAGGCTGTGCTCTAACTGTCCTGGGCAGCCTCTCAGATGCCCACCTAGGCGGCTCTTTCTCTCCTTGGGGCTCAAAAGACCCTGGCCTACCTGCTGTGTTCACCTCTGTTCTGCTCCAGGGCCAAAAGTGAGAATTGAGCTTATGATAAGTGATATCCAACACCAGCAGGGCCAGGGCCATGGCACCCATGCACACCTCTGGGTCAGGTACAGCTGCAGCCTTCCTGGAAGGGAAGCCGGCAGTATCCAGAAGCACAATCCATGCACACTTTCTGTGTCCCATCAGTCCCACCATTAGGAATCTGTGCTATGGACACCTTTGCAATGGTACGCCTCCTTCTGGACAAATAAAAGGGGATACACTGATGTATGACAAAAGATCGTCCATCTACACCACAAATACTTATTAACCCCAACCATAAATCAGGATATAGCACTAAGCAAAATGGGGTTTGTATTCTAAGGGGCTGGGGGTGCAGGACAAAAAAGCAACAAGTAAATATGTCACCATACACATGGAAAAGACACCTCTTCTGTGCACTGAGAGGATGGGACCTTTTTTCCTCTTAATGCTTTCACCAACACTACACGTACACTCCTCACGTGACCCACACCTGTCCTCTGCATATCTTCTCAGTCCCCACGTCTACTGCAGGGACTGTTTCACAAGGTAGAGAGGAGAAGGTCCATCACCAGGCACAAGCCCCAAGTGTCCTCTCACTGTTGCCTGCCTTTCTGGGCCTCCGTTACTGATCCTTTTACAGGCCCTGTGCAGTGCAGCCTGGCGACACTGCATGGTCACATTGTGTGAGCCCAGCATGCCAGGCACTGTGCAAGGCACTGGGGAGGAACTGAAGAGCCTCGAGGTTCCTGCCCCGACAGGGCTCTCTATCTGGTGTAGGGGACAACTATGAGCAGCAACAACCCACGCAAAATGTGACCAGAGCCATGAGGAGGAGCAAAGGATACAACAGGAGGAGGGACAAAGAAATGACCTTTCAGCTAAGACCTGAGTTTGACCAGAATACAGTCAGGTGAGAGAAATTTCCTTTGGGCAAAGGACAGAGAAAAGAGCAGCACAGCAGGCCTGAGGAACTCAAAAAGGGCCAGTATGGCTGCATCAGGATGCACAAAAAGGGATCGGGCTGCAGCTTAGTAGTGGAGCACCTGCCATGCACATGCAGCCCTGGGTTTGAACTCCAGCACCACAGACCCAGAATGAATGTGTAAAAAGGTCAGGAGGAGCCAGCATGGTGATGCAAGTCTGTAATCCCAGCAATCTAGGAAGCTGATCCAGGAGGATTGAAAGTTTGAGGCCAGCCCAGGCAACTTAGTGACTTAAGGAGACCCTGTCTCAAAATCAAAACAAAAAGGCTTGGATGTAGCTCAACGTGAAGGCCCTGGGTTTAATCTCCATTTACTGCAAACAAACAAAACAAAAGGACAGGAGGAAACAGAACCAGAAAGATGTGGTTGAAGTGCCTCAGATTGGTGGAAACCCACCAAAAGAGGAAGGAAGTGCTGGTGGCCAGTCAGACTCTCCAGACCGCAAGGGCCAGTAGCCCCACTGTCTGATCTGTAGCATGAGCCTTGGGCCTCAGGTGCTGCTGGGATCTGGAAGGGCTCTGATCACCGCCTCTGTGCAAGGCCACTCCCTCTAGCTGGCCAGACTGCACACTGGCCTTCAAAACCTTAGTTTAGGACAGGGCTGCACCTCTCTCCAGAAAGGCAGCAACTGCCAGGCTTTCTCACTCCTCCTGGAGCCGCAGCCTGTACTCCTGCTGTGACCTGTCTGTCCCGGGGGCCCCAGTACAGTGCTGGGAGCCCTGCAGCTCTGACACTCCTCCTTCCCAGGCTTCGAAGCTCCTGGCACAGAGAAGTTCCCACTAGGAGTTAAGTGGGGAGTGGAGAGCTCTACACCTTACACCTCACTTCTCCCACAAGAACACCCTGGTCAGATCTCTCCCCAGAAGGTTCCTTCTAGAAGCACCCAGCACAGCACAGCACACAGGCAGGGCCATAGAACCTCAGGGCCAGGCAACCGGGAACTCAACTGTGTATGAGCCTGTACAGCTCTCTGCAGTCTCCTGCACAAATCACCTCCTCTGCTGGCCTGGAAGTTTCTGAAGGCAGAAACCATATTAGGGCCAGGGATTCAACTCAGTGGCACCACACCTGCCTCGCAAGCACAAGGTCTTGAGTTCGATCCCTGGTACCGGAAAAAAAAAAAGAAAACAGAAACCATATTGCCCACTCATTATCAGACTGATAATAAGTCTTATATCCCCCCCAAAACACCTTCCTGCCTATTATCAGACTGCATCTCCATACCACCACTGCTGCCCCCTCCAAGTCAGTGCTTCCTGGCAGGGGCTGGGAAGGACCTCATGGGAAAGTGGGGGCCTTCTGTAAGCTTCTGTAAGTGCTGCAGGAGAGGTGTGTAAGAGTTATCACCATTTTATAAACACTTCTACTCCACTATTGCACTCATCCATTCTGCTTCACACTCACACAGGAGATAAGCATATGCACCAAAGACATTCCTGATAGGGGAAAAACTGGAAACAATCCTCAAAGTCCACCAAAAGGGATCAATTAAAAAAGGCTTCAGTACAGCAATGGAATACATTGTGTACAGTGCACAATGGAATACTATGTAGTTATAAAAAATAATGGAAAACAGCTCTTGAGTGATAGGAAAGTCACATCAAAAGATGATTCTAGGACAAGTCACAGAGTGGTACATCCAGTATGATCTCATCCACCACACACACGCACCTAGACTACTGACAGCAACCACAGGTTGGGGAGGTGAGATGGAGAGAAGAACGAGATACTTTTCCCTGTCACTCACATACATACGTGCACACCTACTACATGCACATATGGCATACATGTATGTATAAACACACATGCCTGACGTGTTGAGTTTTACTAATCTAACAAAACAAAGCACAGTGAGGGCCGGGGATTTGGCTCAGTGGTTTCGCCACCTGCTGCGCAAGTGCAAGGACCCGAGTTCAATCCCCGGTACAAAAAAAAAAAAAAAGCACAGTGAGAGCGCTGGAGCCAAGATGTGAAAAAGCCTACTGGAGGCCTGGGGATTTAGCTCAGTGGTTCTGCCACCTGCCTTGCAAGCAGAAGGACCCAAGTTCGATCCCTGGTACCAAAAAAACCCCCAAAAACCAAAAAAACCCTACCAGAGTAATCTCAAGTTCCCCTCCAACTCTGAGGAGAGGCATAAGCAATGGGATCGAACATACCCACTTGGGCCCTCTTTTAGAAAAAAAGGTGGTATGTTGGGTGCTGTAGGATGTACTGACATGAGGCTCTCAAGACCAAGACTCAGTCTGGGCTCTGCTATGACCACATGGATGACCTGGGGAGGCCATCGGGCATCACTGAGCCAGTTCTCACCTATAATCAAAAGCAGAGAGGGAAAGAACACAGGACAGCCTTGCCATTCACTACTGTGAGCCTTGATCAATCATTTGCCCTCACAAAGCCTGCTACCTCTTCTGCTTGGGTGTGTGTGTGAATGCAATGACACACATTTGTAATCTCAGTACTCTGGGGGGCTGAGGCAGGAGAACTGCCAAGTTCAAGCCTAGCCTGGGCAACTTAGCAAGACTGTCTCAAAAAAAAAAAATGGGCTGGGGATGTAGCTCAGCGTGAAGGTCTTGGGTTCAATTTCCAGTAGAGCAAAACAAACAAAAAGAGGGAAAGATAATATAATTTACCCTCCCAGAATGTTGAAGAAAAAAAAAAAAAGATAGCATATATCTAAAGTGCTTAATACAGCAGGCTCAACACATAATATGCACTGAATAAATAGCAGCTGCTATCATTACTGCTGAATGAGGTAATGACATTGGCCCTGCCTACATAATGGGGTATTGAGAAGATCTAATGAGATGTATGCTGGGAAAGAGCTTTTGAAGTAAAGTGGGCAATGAAGGAGCACTTATGTAAGGGTTCCTCTCCCATCTTAGCCAGAGCCTCTGCTACCACCCAAGATGGGGGTAGAGGGGGAGATACCCAAATGTGAGATGCCCTCTTTATTCAGCCCCTGGACAAAATTCTAACCAGTTATATACAGTAGGTGGGTCTCTTCTTCAACGATAGGAAATGACAAATAGGAAGAGGAAAGATGGGCTGCCAGGTGCAAGTACTGACAACTTCTGTTAGTAACACCCCAGCCCGGGAGTCCTCTGACTCCTGGCAGCCCATACCTGCATCCCTTCAAATACCTACCTCCCCATCCCCAGGCTCCTCCAGACACTATTTACAAAAGAACCCACGTTTCTCAAGGTCACAGAGCCCAGCCTCTTCCATACATCCTTGCAGGCCACATTCCTCTCTCCCCTCCTCCATTAGCCATGGGGGTGCTTCCCCAGGATCTTCTACAGACACATCTCACCCTAGAATCCCTCTGAGATGCCTCCTCTCACTGCCTTCCTGCAATACAATATGCTCCTCCTAACGCATCACCCCAGGGTGCCCCCATTCCTCACTGTTCTCATCCCAAGTCCCCTATCTTCACACCGGACATGACCAGCCACCACCCCCTCCAGTTCAGGACTCCCTCTCTAACATCCTGCACATACCTCCCATCTCAGGGCCGTCACCCCAAATTCCCCAACATCCCCCCACACTGGCGCTCCCACTCTCAAGCCGTCCCACCCCTACTCCTAGGACGTGTACACTGTTCTGTCCACCCCTCCAACCCAGGAACTCGTCCCCTGCACTCTGCCACACATGCTTAGGCTTCCCAAAGTTTCCTTCTAGGAGAAAAGGGCACACCTTCATCCTGAGACCCCTCAAAACCCTCCTCCCACTCCCGGAGTCCTCACAGCCATCTTTCGGTTCCTCCCGTCTAACTGCCTCGAAACACGCCCCATACTGGAATCCCGGACTTCCTCCCTTCGCTCCTCCCGACTCTCCCGGACCTGCCGAGGCCCCCAGCGGGTCCCGGGCCCCCCGAGTGTTCCCTCTGTCCACCCAAGACGCAGGCAACCTCCAGCCCGAACCTGGCGGGGACGGGCTGGGAGGATTGTCCCTCAGCACGCTGAAAACCTCAGCTCACTTCGACAAGGGACGCCCAAGGTTTCCCCCACTGACTCATCCCGGGACCCTGCCCCGAGTTCTCCGAGACCGTCCCGGGCCTCGCGCCGCCCGCCTCGGAGCCCCTGGCCCGCGCCCTCTCTCTCACTCCCGCCGGTGCCGGTCCCTCCGCCCCCTCCTCTCGTCTCGACCCGTCGCTCTCGGTCCTTGCCGTCCCCAGTCCTGCCACTCTCATTCGAGCCGTCCAGGACTCTCCCGCCCCGGCCCCGCGCGGACGGCCTCTCGCCGGCTCCGGCCCTTCGCGGTCTCCTCCGCTCCCCCTCCCAGCCGTCCCGGCGGCCATTGCTCCAAGATGGCGGCGGCGGCGGCGGCGGCGGCAGCGGCGGGTGAGGTCGGGCCAGGCGGGGGGTCAGGGTCCCCGGCGGCGCTCACCTGCAGCTCGGAGCGTTCGGCCTCCCAGCGGGCCTTCTCGGCCTCGAAGCGCGCCCACTCGTGCTGAATAAAGTGCAGGATCCCGGGGAGGCTCAGGGGCTCCGGGCCGGCCGCGGGCCCCGGGCTGCCTCCGCCGCCGCCACCCTTTCCTGCTGGGCCGGGCCCGGGGGCAGGGCTGGAGACGGGGCCCGTCCCAGGCGGGCCAGGACCCGCAGCGGAGCCGAGCGGGCGGCAGGAGGAGGCGGAGGCGGCGGCGGCGACCGCGGCGGCCGCTCGCTCCTCCATCATGGAGGCCCCGGGGCCGGCCCGCGCGCCCGCTGTGTCTCGCGCGCCTGCGCGGCCACGCCAACCCCCGCGCGCCCTCGGCCGGGCCAGGGGAGGCGGTGCGAGCACGAGGCCGGGCGCGAGCCTCGCCCACCCGGGTCGCCCCCGGTGACGCGCGCGCGCGGACGTCTGAGCAGGGGAGGGGCGGGGGGGGGCGCGCACCCCACGAGGGCAAAGGAGACCCTAGACCCGCACGACGGTCGCCCACGCAGGAGCGAGAGTTTGGAAGGGGCTGCTTTCTGCCCCCCTCCTCTCACTTTGCTCTAAAGAGAGAGCCTTCTGCCAGACCCAAATATCCTGCTGCACAATCGCTTTCACTCTGAAATTAAGGGTGGCCTCCTTGGGTGGTTTCAGCAGTGGTCCTGTCCTCTCAGATTCCTGGCCAGGTCGGTTGTCATGATAACCCTTCCCCAGACTAGAGCACCCCAGTCTCCTCTCCCCTACCCCTTTGTAGTTTGGAGCCCCAAACCTCTTCTGTCCTCACCAGGAGGAGGTTGCTAAGGTAACCTAAGTCTCTCGTGGTCCTTCTGCCCCATAATCAGTTACTATGGGAACCCCCACACCTTGCACTCAGGTAGGAAGAACCCCAGCCCCAAGGTCACTTGCCTCTAAGAAAAATACTATCTCTTCCCCAACCCCTCCTCCACAGCCACCTAGTTGGGATTACCATGGTAACCATCATTCCCTTTCCATCATGGGAGGTCCATGGACCTAACCCACCAGGTGTTTTTATCTAAAGGAGGGGATTCTCTCCTGCAAAGCAGTTGCTGTGGTTACAGGATCTGGACCATATGTGCATGGGGGTAGGGGGTGAGAACAGGCAAACCCGAGCACTGGTTACTATGATAACAGGACAAACTCCCCTACCCTCTCCAGTGACCTTAGGAACTAAACTCACCAAGCAAGGTCGGGACATTTTGGGATTTTCTGTAGGAGGCAATATGTCTAGGGAAGGAGTTGTCATGGTAACAATACTAGCCCTACCTTTTCTGAGCACATTCAGGAGAGAGGGATGGTTATAGGTTGGTATGAAAACTGACATCCCTCCTGCCCACCCCATTCCACTCCTGAGATGCCCCAGGTGGTGCCCAAGTTTATAGGACTTCAAGAAAAAGGGTTCCCAGAGGGCGGGGATTTACCTCACTGGTTTGGATGCCTGCTGCGCAAACGCAAGGACCCGATTCGATCCCTAGTAGAAAAAAAAAAAGAAAAAGGGTTCCCTGACCTTGTAGGTGTCACTTTCTTGGGAACGATGAAATTGGGTTCTATTGTGCCGAATCAGCTAACTTGTGGTTTTCTGGTTTTCCTTCCCTCAGTGGAACAGCTGAGCTGGACTGGAACTGCCCTCCTGAAACTTCCCCAGCCTACAGCCTAGGAGGTAAGAAGGCGCTGTGTCCCAGCACTCACATGGAAATTGCCTTTTTCTCATCCCCAGAGGCTTTCCCACCAGTCTCATTTGCTCTACCTGCTGCCAGGGCAGAGGCTCAGGCCAGATGGGAACGAAGAAGTTGCACTGTTTGTGGAGAGACCAGTAAGGTCCCAGCTCCACTCTCTGCTCCCCACCTTTTCTGTGCATGTGCCCTGGCTTTCTGGCTCACATGCCTGCTGGTTTCCTGAGCTACATGTCTGTAAGTTATTTGGTTTTTGTCTTCTGTCTGGAGCAGTCCCAGCCCAGTGACTGCCTCTTTCATCCTGTGTCATCAGAACACAGGGGCTGGTACAGAGAGCACTCCGTAAACATCTGTTGAATTAATGAGTTGAATTAATTACCAAGCCACATTCAGTTTTGCCAGCACCTGTCAGGTTAAGGCTGGGGAAACTCAACAAAGATGGACTAAAGAGCTGGGCTGACGGTGAGGCCCAAGAGAGAGCAGAGTTTATTGATATAAAGCATGACTCTGGAGCCACGTTCTTTGATCAAATCCTGGGCCCACCATGTCCCACCTGTGATCTTAAGCAGGCATCCTTACCTCTCTGTGCCTGAATTTCCTTATCTTTAAATTCGGTCATAACATCGGGATGAAATCAGTGAAATGCTCGGAACTGTGAATGCTTCCAAAGTGCCTAGAACAGGGCCTGGCATGCTATGAACTGCTGGAATTGTGATGTTATAGATCCTGATTCAGAACAATGTAGAACATCCAGGCCTTCAAAGTCATCATTTAGAGCCAGGCATGGTGGCCCACACCTGTAATCCCAGCACTTGGGAGGCTGAGGCAGGGGGAACCCTGAGACTACACACTGAGTTGAAGGCCAACCTGAACTACATAGCGAGACCCTGTGTCAAGCAACAACAACAACAAATCATTCCGTTGACCTTGCCCCAACAAATAATTTTGTAGTCCTTTGAGTTCATGAAGCCAAGACCAAACTTGTCGGGTTCTTTTCCTTCTTCGCTCCCCTCACACCCTCACCACAGCTAGCACCTGGCCATCGAAGCTCCTGGTCCCTAGGAACCCAGTTTCTGTCCTCTGCTCTGCTGGGCAGCTCCTGGCCCAGCGTCCTCCAGACAGACTGTGGGCTTGGAAGTGGAGACCTGGCTCTGGTCTCACGGTCTCTGAACCAGTTTCCCTCTCTTAACAATTTACATCACTCATTCATTGGACGCACACTTCTTGAGCACATGCAGTAGGCCAGGCCCTGAGCTGTGCTCTGGGGATACATCAGAGAACAAAACAAAGTGGACTGTTTGCCCTTCATGGGGACGCTGACAACAAACAAGAAAGTCAAATCCATATCCAGGGAGAAAAGGAAGGCCAAGATAGGGGAGAAGCATGGGTAACAGGGAAAGGCACTGTTGAGGAGGACAGCCAGAGCCGCGCTCCCTGGAAGGTGACACTGAGCCAAGACCTGAGGGCTGGGCAGGAGCAGCCAGGTAGGTACACGGCAGTTCGGCTGCTACAGGTGCATCTGCAGAATGGGTAGGATGCTGGTGTGGCTGGAGGTGCAAGAGCAGGTGGGAAAGGCACCAATGTGGGCCTTGTGACAACAGCAAGGACATAATGTCTCCTTTGAGCAACAGGCAAGCCTTTGGGGGGGCCTGAGAAGAGGCAGGGCCAGTTCTAACTCTAACTTGATTTTTCTTGGTGGGAGTCTGGGGATTGGACCCAGAGCCTTCACACTGAGGTACATCCCAAACCCCTTTTATTTCTTATTCTGACACAGGGTTTTACTAAGCCACTAAGTTCCCCAAACTGGGCTCAAACTTCAATCTTCCTGCCTCAGCCTCCTGAGCCACTAAGATTGCAGGCCTGTACCACCGTGCTAGCTCTAACAATTTTAAAGGATCCCTCTGAGTGCTCTGTGTAGAACAGGGGACAAAGGTGGTAGCAAGAATGTGATCTCTTGCTGCCTTTCAGTACTATGCAGGATGGAGGGCACTGAATCCAGGGCCTTCGCACTGAGCTACATCACCAACATTTTTTAAATTTTGTTTTGTTTTTTTGACACATGGTCTTACTATATAGTTCAGGCTGACCTTGAACACACTGTGTAACCCAGGCTGGCAATCCTCCTGCCTCAGCCTCCCAAGTGCTGAGATTATAAGCATGCACCACCATGTCTGGCTTTTATTTTTTTTGAGGCAGTGTCTTACTAAGGGTGGCTGGAACTACAGGCACATGCTGCAGTGCCTGGCAAAGTCACTTTTTTTTTTTTTTTTTGCAAGGCTGCAGATCCCATGCATGGTAGGGAAGTGCTGTGCTACTGAGCTACACCCTAGCCTGCAAATTTTTTTTTTTTTTTTTTGGTACCGGAGATCGAACTCAGGACCTTGCATTTGCCAGGCAGGTGTGCTGCCACTGAGCTAAATCCCCAGCCCTGCAAATTACTTTTAATGTGCAACTCAGATTCTTTTTTTCTCCCTCAGTGGTAGAGATCGAACCTGGGCCCTCATGCTTGCTAGGCAAGCACTCTACCACAGAGCTACAACAACCTCCAGATTCTTAAGTGTGGTGCAGACTACATTGGAGAAGAACAAACAGAACTAGGAGTGGATAAAGGGGAGGGAAGGCATTCCTGCCTTGCAGGAGGGAGGGAGCGAGCAGGAAGACCAGGGCCTGGGCACATGGCAGAAGGGCAGAGTTTGGCTCCCTGACCTTCTTGGGCTTTGCAAACTGAGGAAACCCTGACTTTGGCCATCATCTTTTCACCCCCTGCATTCTCAGTTCCTGGCTGTATGTGGAGTCGAGGCAGTGAAGGAGACAGCTTTCACTCTGCTCTCTCAGGGCGCACGCCCAGTGGGGCACTCAGACCCTTCCCCAGAGCAGGGCTCCAGGAAGGAGCCCTCAACATGGATTCAGGGAAGGCTTCCTGGAGGAGGGGGCACCTGAGCTGAACCCTCAAGCCTAAGTAGTTGTCCAGAAGAAAAATGTGGGCTGCCAGAAAGGAGACCCTTCTAAACAGGAGCAGAATGCACAGTGACTTAGGAATAAGATCAGTTTGTGCCGGGGATGTAGCTCAGCGGCATAGCACCTGCCTGGCAAGCACGAGGCCCTGAGTTCAATTCCCAGTACCAAAAAAATAATAATAATAAGACCAGTTTGAGAAAAAGTGCCAGGTGACTTAGGTCCAGAATTTGAGAGAGGCATGGCAGGAGATAAGGCTAGAATGGTGGGCAGGGAAGTGGAATGTTCAAAACAGCTTTAATCTTTTCCCCTGGGCACTAGGGAGCTATGGCAAGTTATGACCAGGGAGGGAGAGGTCATATGTGTCCCCCTCTGGCTACCAGGAGGACAGGACTCCGGCAGAAGATTAGGGGATGGTTTGGTGGGCCTTGGTGGATCCAGACTGGGAAGGAACTGTGAAAATGGTCAGGAGGGGACAAAAGTATTTGGGAGGGAAGATTGGCTAGGTCTCTGATATCCCCCCTCTTGGGGAGGGGCAGAAGCCTGTAATAACCCTGCCTGGGGAAACTTCCAGCACCTGCTGGGAACCCAGAGTTATACCACTTATGCCCAGACCAGGCAAACCTTCAAAGTCCATGGGGACGGGGAGACAGCGCCATCTAGGGCCTGCCAGGGAGTGTGGCCAGTGAATGGGGCTGGGCTTATGTGCCCTGTGGTGGGCAGCCTGTGTGTGGTGTAGTGGTGACTGTACTGGGACTTTGTCCCTGAGCCCCAGCCCTTTTTATTTTTTATTTATTTATTTTTTTGTGGTACCGGGGATCAAACTCAGGACCTCGGGCTTGCAAGGGAGGCTCAGTGCCACTGGGCTAAATCTCTGGCCCTCCTTTTTATTTATTTTGAGACAAAGTCTCAATAAATTGCCCAGCTTGGGCTCAAACTTGCAATCCTGCCTTTGCATGGCAGAATGCTGAGATTACAGCCTGTGCCACCATGGGGGGCTGGGTGGGACATCCTCTTTTGATGTGATCCAATCCATTTCAAAATTTTAAAATTGTAATAGAGTGCACATAAGATAAAATTTTACTATTTTACCATCGTAATCAGGTTTAAGTGCACAGTCCAGTGGCATTAAATGTATTCATATTGGCCAGCTATGGTAGGACATCTCTAATCCCTGCACTTAGGAGGCTGAGGCAGAAGGACTGCCACTAGTTTGAGGACAGCCTGGGCCACATAGTGAGTTGAAGGCCTGCCGTTTTTGTTTTTGTTTTTTTACATTTATGGCTTTTCTTGCAAAATCAGTGATCTGGCTGACCATCAGGAAGATCACCTGATGGCCCGTGGCTTGGGGAAGTGAGAAGAGGCAGGAGGAGGAGCTTGGGGTAATGCTGGGGGCCAGGAGTGGGAGGAAAGCAAGGAGGAGATCAGGGCTGGCTTCCAGGAGGAGGTGCAAGTTGGGTTTGGGAATGGAGTCAAGGTGTTTATAACTGACCCTGAATCTGAAGAAGTTGACAGGCTTTTTGAAGGATGAGACTGAACAAAGAAAGTGATTCACTTGAGGGCAGGGGTTCCTAAGCACGAAATGTGTACCTGGTTCTGTCCTGGGCAGTGCTGGGAAGCCAGCCGTGAGCAAGATAGTCTCAGGTGCCACCCTCATGGTGTCCCAATCCACTGTGAGACAAAGACCCTTTCCCACACAAGGATGACTTAAGAGTGGTCAGGTCGAGGTTGGGAAACCCCAGGAAGCTATAGGAGCCCAGAGTAGTTGCCAGATCCAGGGTGGGAAGTCAGGATGTCCTGGCAGAAAAAAATGGGGGAAATGGGAGCTGGGGGTGTAGCTCAGTGGCAGCACTTGCCTAGCATGGGAGGCCCTGAGTTCCATGTCCAGCCCTGAAGGGGTGGGAGGGCTGGGGGAGGGAGCTTCTGATAGCCAGCTCCAGATTCCCCTTCCATTCTGTCTCCCCAGGATGCCCTGGTTGCCCAGCTAGGGCCTGGCCTCGGCCCCATGCGGCTCACGCGCTGCCAGGTTGCCCAGGCTGCCCTGGCAGCCGCCATCACCCTCAACCTCCTGGTCCTCTTCTACTTCTCATGGCTGCAGCACCAGCCCAGGAACTTCCGGGCCCGCAGCCCCCGCCGGACAACCACTCCCGGTCCCCGCGTCACCGTCCTGGTGAGAGAGTTTGAGACCTTTGACAACGCAGTGCCAGAGCTTGTGGACTCCTTCCTGCAGCAAGACCCAGCCCAGCCCGTGGTGGTGGTGGCCGACACCCTCCCTTACCCACCTCTCGCCTTGCCCCGCATCCCCAATGTTCGCCTGGCCCTGCTCCAGCCCACCCTGGACCGGCCTGCCGCCGCCTCGCGCCCAGAGACCTACGTAGCCACCGAGTTCGTGGCCCTGGTGCCCGATGGGGCTCGGGCCGAGTCACCAGGCCAGCTAGAGCGCATGGTGGAGGCGCTGCGGGCAGGAGGCGCACGCCTGGTGGCCGCCCCAGTCGCTACTGCCAACCCTGCCCGCTGCCTAGCGTTAAATGTCAGCCTGCGGGAGTGGACAGCCCACTACGTCCAGTTGCCCGCCACGCCCCGCTGCGACGCCCTGGATGGCGACGCAGTGGTTCTGCTGCACACCCGAGACCTCTTCAACCTCTCGGCGCCGCTGGCACGGCCGCTGGGCAGCAGCCTCTTCCTGCAGACCGCCCTGCGTGGCTGGCCAGTCCAGCTGCTGGCCCTTCCCTTCGCCTCGGCCCGCCAGCCCCCGCTGGCCACGGCACACGCGCGCTGGAAGGCAGAGCGCGAGGGGCGAGCGAGGCGGGCAGCGCTGCTGCGCGCGCTGGGCATCCGCCTGGTGAGCTGGCCAGGTGGGCGGCTCGAGTGGTTCGGCTGCAGCAAGGAGAGTGCACGCTGCTTCGGGACTGTGGTGGGCGACACGCCCGCCTACCTGTACGAGGGGCGCTGGACGCCTCCGTGCTGCCTGCGCGCGCTGCGCGAGACGGCGCGCTACGTGGTGGGCGTGCTGGAGGCCGCGGGCGTGCGCTACTGGCTGGAGGGCGGCTCGCTGCTGGGGGCAGCACGCCACGGCGACATCATCCCTTGGGACTACGACGTGGACCTGGGCATCTACCTGGAGGACGTGGGCAACTGCGAGCAGCTGCGGGGGGCCGAGGCCGGCTCGGTGGTGGACGAGCGTGGCTTCGTGTGGGAGAAGGCCGTGGAGGGCGACTTCTTCCGCGTGCAGTACAGCGAGACGAACCACCTGCACGTGGACCTGTGGCCCTTCTACCCCCGCAACGGGGTCATGACCAAGGACACATGGCTGGACCACCGGCAAGACGTCGAGTTCCCCGAGCACTTCCTCCAGCCTCTAGTGCCCCTGCCCTTTGCCGGCTTTGTGGCTCAGGCCCCCAATAACTACCGCCGCTTCTTGGAGCTCAAGTTCGGCCCTGGGGTCATTGAGAACCCAGAATACCCGAACCCCGCACTCCTGAGTTTGACAGGTGGCTGAAGCTCCGACGCCGGAACCTGGGGGCCCTGGGGTGAGGGGAACGTTCAGTACGGGGAGCTTCCTTTATTTTCTGGGGTCTGTCTGGTTGTGGAAAAGCTTTAATGGAGTGTGGGGTCCGTGTGCTGGAGACAAGAAGCCCTGGGAGGGAGCGAGAACCTGGCTCTTCCAGAAGGAACCAGGACCGGAAGCAACACCCAGAGATTCCCCAGTGGTCCTGCCCACTGTGAGGGGCGGATGTGACGGGACATCCTGGGTCATCCGAGTAACTGGCAGAGCTGCTGGCGTTTGGACAGGGGCAGGGATGGCAGGCCGTCTTTGGGGGCCTGGCAAGTCCCAAACCTCCAAGAAGTGTCCGGTGCCCGGATCTGGGACAGTTTGGGAAAGAGAGTAGGTTCTGGATTCTGGCGCTACTACTTTGGGGGAGTGTCTCTGCCTCAGTTTCCTCCCCGATTCCCAGGGCTGGGTAAGGCAATAAGCTTGCCCGACCTTGGCTGCTGGGATCGCGTGCTCCACTAGAGGGCGTGTCTGTCCCGCTCCTGGTGGCGGCCTGTGGCTGCCAGGGTTCCATAACCATCGCATCTATTCAGCCTTTGGTCTCAGAAGGACTGTGGGAGGTGGAGCAGCAGTGGCTGTCTCACCCTCTGCAGTGTGACTCCTTCCCTGCGGGACTGTGAGCTCCCGGATTCTCTTAACCCAGACTTGCTGAGGAGGGAACAGCGCCTTGGGCTGTGGATAAACGGGGTATGGATCCCAGCTCACTCCTTACCCTACCTCAGAGCTTCAGCTCTCAGCACCTGCGCCCCACTCGCCAGGAGGCCAACAGTAGCTCGGCTCACAGTGACGGAGCCCTTATCTATCAGGCACCATGCCTCACTCAGTGTTAAACAGACTCACTGACTTGTCCTCACTTCACCCCTCTGAAGTGACAGCTGCTATTGGTCCATTTTGTAGCGGACAACTGAGGTGACGTCACTTGCCCAAGGGCAGAGAGCTTCAGAACTAGCAGATCAGGGACTTGAACCCAAGCTGTCGGGCTCCAGAGTCCACACTTGACCTCCTCCCTACACCCCCTCTAGAAATGGCACCCAGAGTGGCTGGGAGACTGCCATTCCGTGGGTAAATAGTATTGGTCATGTACTCCAGTGTGTTTCTGTTTATAAATTATGCACAAATACTGCTATCAGTGTATAAGATTTAAGTTATTACATTTTAAAATAAAAAGGGAATATAAATAGAAGTTATGTTCTTGCCTCATCCCAGTGACTTGTTCTGCATACCACCTGAGTATGCCTTTTTATTTTTATTTTATTTATTTATTTATTTGGTACTGGGGATCAAACTCGGGACCTTGCACTTGGGAGGGAGGAGCTGGAACCACTGAGCTAAATCCCTGGCCCAAGTGAGTATAGTTTTTTTAAAAGCAGAGCTCAGTGGTGTGCAGCTGTGATGCCAGCTGTTCTGGAGACTGAGGCAGGAGGATGACTTGCGCCCAGGAGTTCTAGGCCAGCCTGGGCGACATAGTGAGACACTAGTCCTTGAAACAAAAAAATGAAAGCACAAGCTTGAGCTGTTGTGGGGGGGGGGGAGCACACACCTGTAACCCTAGCACTCGGAAGGCTGAGGCAGGAGGATCACTGAGATCAAGTTCAGCCTGGACTACATAGCAAGACCCTGTCTCAAAAAACAAAACACATGGCCGGGGATTTAGCTCAGTGGTTCTGCCACCTGCCTCGAAAGTGCAAGGAGTTCGATCTCCAGTGCCAAAAACAAACAAACAAAATACAGGCCCTGAGGTGCCAGAAGCCAGCTTCAAATCACTGCTCCTGTCCCCAGCATGAACTCAGACCTCTGCTTTGCCTCTGGGAGATGGGGATGATGAGAGCACCCACCCCACAGGGCTGGGTTCAAATCCTGACTTGACACTTTGTCTCTTTGTGACTTCAGGCAAGTCACTGCCTCCCTGGGCACGTAACATCATGATGGAGTTGTGCCCTCAGAGGGTTGAGGAGGAGCGTTTGCCTCATCTTCTGAGCCCCAGACATCCAGAGTCTGACTACTGATAGCCCATCCTCACCTTTAATCATAAGCCCACGATGGTTTCCTGTCAGGAGCATTTCTATATAAATTTTGGGGGAAATCATTTCATAATTAAAATACGATTATAGCAAAGGCTCAAGGCCACCTTGCCTGAGAGCCGGCTATGGCAGGCGGAAATATAACTCCGTTTTTTTGTTTGTTTTGGTACCTGGGATCGAACTCAGTTCCTTGCACTTGCGAGACAGGCAGGGTAACCACTGAGCTAAATCTACGGCCCTGTAACTCTGTTTTGCCTCCAGTCACAGCTGAAGCCTCAAGGGTCCCGTGATGCTGTGGGGCACAAGAGCAAGATTACGTCAGCTGAAGACATCTGGGTTCCTTGAGAACCGAGTAGTAATACAAGAAGAGAAAAGTTTCACCTGGGGAGAGACTAATTCCTTGTCAAACTTAACTAATCCCACCCACCACTGTAAGATTGCTCTCTCTACAGTCCTCTTCAACAGAAGAACCTCGAAATTTAAGATCTTCATCAGCTCCTCATGTACGTTTTTACTTCTTTCTTTTCTTTTCTTTTTTTTCCGGTACTGGGGATCAAACTCAGGACCTTGTACTTGAGAGGCAGGTGCAGCGCCACTGAGCTAAATCCCCAGCCCCTCCTCGTGTACTTTGACTGCTGCCCCCTGCATCACCTGATGGTCCCTCCAATTATTGTGTGCACCCAATAAATAGTGGCTAGCTCAGACAGTCTTTGTCTTTGCCAGCTCTGGGCCCTGACCTCCCGGTGCCCCATACACTTTGAAATTACACAAGTCTCTATTGTCTTTTTCATGTGCAAGTCCAGTGTCCTACCGGACATGGAGGAAAGAAAGTGATATGTAAAATTCTTTGCAACTGGTATGGTAGTATAAATTTATATAGGTATATATGCATCAGATTTTTAAAATATTTTTTATTCTCTACATAATCGCAGTGATCTACCTATGTATACATATGTCCTTAGACTGTTTACCAAAGAACATAAGGTGAAACTCAAGTCATGCTCAAATTGTTGAAATGATATTGTTATTTAGGATGTGGGCCAGGGATGTAGCTCAGTGGCATCCGCGGCTGCCTCGAAAGTGCAAGGTCCTGAGTTCGATCCCCGGTACCAAAAAAGAAAGAAAGAAAGAAAATTGTTGATGTGCAGCTGGGTGTAGTGGTGCACACCCATAATCTCAGCACTTGGGAGGCTGAGTCAGGAGGATCATTGTAAGTTTGAGGCCAGCCTGGGCTACATACTGAGTTCAAGGCCAGCTTGAACTACACAGCTAGACCCCGTATCAAAAAAGTTATGAAAGAAATGTGATTTTTTTTTCCCAATCCCCAGGTCCTTTTTTATTTTGAGACACACTCTTTCTAAATCACTAGTTTCTCAGGCTTGGCTCAAAGTTGAGATCCTCCTGACTCAGCTGCCCAGAGTGTTGGGATTATAGGTATTTGCTATCACTTCGGCTGATACGATTTCTGGATGGACAGAGCCATACCAAATAAAAAAACAACTCTACCTCAGCTGTGATTTTTTTTTTTTTTTTTTTTTTGGTACCCTTGCGCTTGTGCAGCAGGCGCCAAAACCACTGAGCTAAATCCCTGGCCAACCTCAGCTGTGATTTTATACAGAGCACCACATTGATGCTTCTAGAAACTTTCTATTAAGTTGATAATCATCAGGTGACTCAAAGTCTCAATAGATCAATAATTTCTCAGGATTAACTGAAATGTCTGGTGTTTTCTCCTCTTTACTGTGCCTGAACAGCAAATAAATTTAAAACTTTTCTAGGCCTTACTATACTCTTTGATGGATTTGTATATTTGGCGTCCTACTATGAACTAAGTTATGGTAGGAGAGAAAATCCATCACAATTAACATGGACTGATGGGATTGCATTAGAATATGGACCACTGAAATCTGCTTTTTAACACTCTTCTACTATTAGCCAGCTAAATAGAACTATTTTAATAGGTTACCAACCACCTTATCCCTACCAGCACTGACCAACTACATTTCAGCCTTACCTGGAGGTGAAAATACTGGTAATAATTACCTGAACTCCCAATCCAATTCACTCCTGTAAACACAAAGTCTTTTCTGTGAGGACTGAACAACCACTGAATTTTCCAGGAAGTGAAACCACCGTGCAAAATGAGGAAGCTGCTATCGGGTTAGAAACTTGGCCAAGGATTGTCTGCCGTGTCAGAAAATCATGTTGCAGTCAGCTCTTGGCAATTAGACGCCAACACAGTGTCTTTCTACCACATTAGGTTCAGAGAAGGTGGCCCCACAGATTCGCATATTGAGTCCATATTAGAAATTACTATTCTTGGCTGGGGATTTAGCTCAGTGGTTTCGCCGCCTGCTGCGCAAGCGCAAGGACCCAAGTTCGATCCCCGGTACCAAAAAAAAGAGAAAAAGAAATTACTATTCTTTTTTTTTCCATACTAAAGACTGAAACCAAGGCCTTCGCATTGAGCTACATCCCCAGCCATTTTTTATTTTTATTTTGAGACAGGGTCTCCCTAAGTCACTACATTCCCCAGGCTGGGCTCAAATCTGCAATCCTCCTGCCTCAGCCTCTCAAGTGCTGAGATTATAGGCAAGCGCCACAGTCCCTAGCTACTATCTTTTAATTTCTCCTTCTTCTTACTGTTAGAGCAATGAAAGATTCCTTCCTTCTTTCCTTCCTTCCTTTCTCTTTTCTTTCTTCTTTTTTCCCTTGTTTGTCATGCTGAGGATCAACCCAGGGCCTCACACATACTAGACATGTGCTCTACCACTGAGCTACACCCCTAGCAGAGGATTTGTCTTATTTTTTTTGTTTTTGTGTTTTTTTTGGTACCGGAAATCAAACTCGGGACCTCAAGCTTGCAAGGGAGGCAGCAACACCACTGAGCCAAATCCCCAGCCCTTGTTTTTATTTTTATTTTTTTCCCCTTCCTCCTCCAGCTTTATTGGAATAGTTTAAAATTATATTTTCTATTTTCTAGGTGGTTTTTATTTTTTGATACAGGGTCTTGCTATGTAGTTCAGGCTACATAGCTGCTTTTTAGTAGTTCAGGTTGGCTGAGAACTCACTGCGATCCTCCTGCCTCAGTGTTGCAAGTGCTGAGATTGCAGGCATGCATCAGTATGCTGGGCTTTTTTGTGGTTTTTTTGGTACCAGGAATTGAACTCAGGACATTGAGCTTGCCAGTCAGGTGTGGCACCACTAAGCTACATCCCCAGCCCTTGGGCTTTTTTTTTTTTTTTTTGATAGGATCTTGCTACATATTGCAGGCTGCCCTTGAACTCACTATGTAGACTGGGCTGGCCTCAAACTCTCAGCAATCCTCCTGCCTCAGCTTCCTGAGTGCTGGGATTACAGGTCTTTGTCACCACTCCCAGCTTGGGGGTTCTTTTGAGTGTAGAGAGAATGGGGCTGCTGATAGCCTGAATGTGAGACAGGAATGCTAGAGTAGGGTACAGGAGGGAAGGAAATAAAATGGCTCATCAGGCCCATGTGCCAGCCCCGCTCCTGCCCCCTCGGCAGTCCTGAGCCCCCCCAACACCAAGCTGGAGCCAACTCCAGGAGAACCAAAGTCCCAAGCTCTCTGACAGCTTTGGTGCCTTGTGTCACCAAGGGCCAAGCCTCGCCTGGTGCCCAGCTACTCCAGCTGCAAGGCACAGGGGCCACGTTGAAGGATTCCGATTTTGAGTCCTAGTCTCTAGAGGAGGTGTCAGAGGGGACTCCTAACCCGTTCTCCTTCCATCAAAGCCACTATTTCCACCTGTCACAGATACTTGCACAGATCTCATTTCAAGACAGTCCAGTTTTTGTTTTTTGTTTTGAAACAGGGTCTCATTGGGCAGTTAAGGCTGTCCTTGAAGTCACTATGTAGCCCAGGCTGGCTTCGAACTTGAGGCAATCATCCTGCCTCAGCCTCCTGAGTGCTGAGATTACAGGCCTGTGTCACCATGCCTGGCCAGTCCACTGGTTTTTGTTTTGGAGGTTTTTTTGGTACTGGAGATCGAACTCGGGACCTTGCGCTTGCAAGGCAGGTGCCAGAACCGCTGAGCTAAATCCCCAGCTGGTCCACCGGTTTTTAAAAATGTTTAAGATCATTGATCTAAAGTTATTTTCCAGCTGGGCATAGTAGTGCACATCTGTAATCCCAGCCACTGGGGAGGGTGAGGAAGGAAGATCTCAAGTTCAGATCTACCCCAGTTAAAGAAAGGGAGGGATGAAAAAAATTGGAACCATTTCAGAGACCTGTTTAGAAAAATAAATGCGCACAATAATCACAGTAAAAATAATCAGTAAATGTTCACTATAATTATTCACAGAGCTCAGGGGATGTCTAGAGGCTACTTAAGCTCCTGTTCATATAGAGAAGATCAGAAATGGTCCTAAACTTTCTACACAGCCTAGAGCCATGTATTTAAAAAGTAGCAATGTGTCCAGCAAATTTTTTTTTTGGTACCAGGAATCAAACTCAGGACCTTGCACTTGCAAGGCAGGCAGTGGCACCACTGAGCTAAATCCCTGGCCCCCAACAAACTTTTTAAATGAAGAAGCTACAAGACTCAGCAATACACACCTGTAATCCTAGCTACTTGGGAGGCTGAGGCAGGAGGATCACCATCCTGGGCAATTTAGTGAGATCCTGTCTCAAAATAAAAAATACAAAAGGGTTGGGGATGTAGCTCAGTGGTAAAGTGCCCCAGGGCTCAATCTCCAGTACCAGAATACAAATTAGCAATTAGCGTAAAAATTAGCATTTGTTTTCTTTCGGTTTTTTTGGTAAGGGGGGATAGAACTGCGGTCCTGGCACTTACTGCTGCAGTGAAACCACTGAGCTAAATCCCCCGCCCCCAAATTAGCATTTTTTTTGCATAAAGTACTTTCTTTTATGTGTGTTTGTGGTTCTAGAGAGTATGAAATCAGGGTCTTCTCAATGAGCTACTCCTCAGCCCTTTTTAATTTTTTTTTTTTTTTGATACAGTATTTGCTAAGTCACTAAATTGCTCAGACTGGGATCCAACTGGCAATCCTCCTGCCTCAGCCTCCCAGTTCTGGGATTACAGCTGTGAGACACCACATCTGACTGTAATGCTATCCTAGCCTCATCCAAAACCCCTAACCACGGGCCGGCCAGGGATTTAGCTCAGTGGTTTCGCCGGCTGCTGCGCAAGCGCAAGGACCCAAGTTCGATCCCCGGTACCAAAAAAAAAAAAAAAACCCTAACCAACTTGATATGAAGACACTCTTAAACCCCTGTCCTAACCCACCAAGGATTATAATGTAGCAGAGAGCATTTAAAACACCAATTACCTAATTATTCAACACATAGACTCATTAGTTGCACAGAATCTGATATGAACTCTGTTTCCCTTCCATCCTACAATAATCACCAGGTAGAGCTGAACCAAGGGGATCCTGAAGATAACCCAGATACCATCTACTGTTGACCTGGTTGGTGGTGCCTGTGGGTACCCAGAGTCATTGGGACCTCGGAAGGGGGGAAGATAACATCAGTGTGGAAGATGATTTCACCTTCCACGAGAGGCAGTTGAGGAGCTGCCAGAGACCACATCCGGGACACACAGGACTTCCGACAGCAGCACAGCAGGTTTTCTTTCTTCCTTCTTTTTTTTTTTTTTTTACTACCAGGGATTGAACTCAGGACGCTTGCCAAGCAGGCGCTGTGCCACTGAGCTACATCCCTGGCTCCCTTTTTTTCCCCCAGGTTTTTGATTCAAATAGCAGATGTGGGGTTCTCTTAGAAAAAGCAAGTCATTACACTGGGGCTATTTAAATCATGAGATACCAGATATCAAGGAATAGTTACATCCTATATAGGTGGTTACAATGGAAAATGAATTTGCCATGATTTGTACAAGTTTCTTGTTTGTTTGTTTTCAACACTGGGGATTGAACCCAGGACCTTCAATTTGAGCTACATTCCTGCTCATTTATTTATTTATTTATTTATTTATTTTTAATTTTGAGATAGGGTCTCACCAAGTTGCTAAATTGCCCAGGCTGGCCTTGAACTTGTCATCCTCCTGCCTCAGCCTCTCAGAATGCTGGATTACAGGCATTACCATGTATGGCTTGAATTGTACATATCTTAAAACAATTTTTTTGGCACTCCTGAGATGGAACTAGGAACTCAGGCAAGCTAAGCAAATGTTGTACTGATAGGGAAAAGTTTTAGATAACTTAGTAGATTGAATATTAAGGTAGTTGTAGAAGCAAAATAAGTAATGTGTTCCTTTAAGATTTGCTTTTTCTGTAACTCTTATTGTTTAAGGTGATGGTAATCTGAATCTTTAACCAGTAACTTCATTAACCTAACAAAGTTGCAATAGCTGGCTGAATTTACAATGTATAGATGCCTATCTTGTGCCTGTGACTTGTAAATAGGAACTGGAATTGTATTTACATATCAAAGACCACTAAGGATGAGATAATGGCTACAAAAGATATAAAAAGGAAAACGCTGAACAAAGCCCCCAGGGATATTAACCAGATTACTTTCTGGTGGTCCTGGCCACTTGCAGCAAGTAAAAATTGTATTATTTTACCCGAATTCTGTGTCTCCATGTATTTCTTTCTGAGATTTCTGGAACAGTACCACTAAGCTACATCCTCCAGCCCCCAAAGCACCAATCTTTTTTGTTTGCTTTTTTTGTTTTTGGTACTGGGACTCGAACTCAGGGCCTCATGCTTGCCAGGTAGGCCGCTGAGCTACATCCCTGGCCCCAAGCACCAATCTTAAGTGTGCAGGTTCTGTAATTTTTCCAAATGCATACTGTTGTGTAATCACAACTCATATAAACATAATACAAGGTTTCTTTCTTCCAGAAGGTTCTCTCCTATCCAGTCAATATGCACGTGGGTCACTACCCTTTGATTTCTCACCAGAGACCACTTTCACATATTCTCTAGACCTTCAGATAAATGGTAGTACACATTATACACTCGTTGCTTCTGACTTCTTTCAACAACAAAAAGTTTTGTTTTGTTTAAAACAAGGTCTCGCTAAGTAGTTCAGACTGGCCTGGAACCCAGGGTGACCCTCCTGCCTCAGCCTTCTTACTGCTGGGATTACAGGCCCATGCCACCATGCCTGGCTTCTTTCAACAATTTATCAGCAAGACTCATCCAGGTCACACCATGTATCACTCCTATTCCCACTGCCCAGCCATCTCCATTGTATGAAGCTGCCAGCTTTGCCACCTGATTCATTCCCAGATGTTCACAGTCATGCACAGAGCAGCTGGAATCATTTGCAGATTACCAGAGCCCACCAAAGGGAGGATGGAGCGAGCGAGGATGGTTAACAGATGCAGAGATGCAGCTGAACAGAAGTAACTCCTAATGTTCTCCCAGTGCCGAATATTTCAGTAGCTAATTGTATCAGTCAGCTATCTGCTGCTGGACATGGCACCCGGTGACCACAACTTAAGAAGTGTATTTTGGCTCAGGGCTTAGTTCAGTCAGCAGGCTCCAAGGCAGAAACGGCTTGGTGAAGGGTCTGGCACAGGCAGCCGGAAGCTGCGGTGGGGCAGGGACCAGAATGCATGCGTCTAGGCCATGCCCCAAGCCACCCACCTCCAACTCCGCCCCACTCCCTAACTGCAGGTCTGCATTGGAACTCCAGGAAGAATCAATCCACTGATAAGTTCAGCAACTCCATGGTCCATCATCTTCAAAAAACGGTACTTCCAGGTGACATTGTAGACCTAAATCATAACACTGAGGATTCTGAATGTTCCCGGCACAAAGAAATGATTCAGGTCTGAGGTGACAGATATTATGCTGTTGACACTGATCTGATCATTACACATTGGACCTCGTAACTACGTACAATTACTATTTCAGTTAAAAAGTCTAAATTGGGCACATCTGTAATCCCAGCATTCTAGGAGCCTGAAGCAAGAGGATCTTAGGTTTGAGCCCAACATGAGCAACCTAGTAAGACTCTGTCGCAAAATTTTTTTAAAAAGGGGGGTGGGTAGGTATGTAGCTCAATGAGAAGGCCCAGGGTTCAATCTTCGATATACTCCATCTGCAAATCTATAATAAATATTTGTGGGGGCCGGGGATTTTAAAAAAAAAAAGGGCTGGGAATTTAGCTCAGTGGTTTCAACACCTGCTGTGCAAGCGCAAGGACCCGAGTTCAATCCCCAGTACCAAAAAAAAAAGTATAATAAACATTTGTGAACAAGGCTTTTTCTTTTGGTACCGGGGATCAAACTCGGGTCCTTGCACTTTCAAGGCAGGCGACAGAACCACTGAGCTAAATCTCCAGCCCTTTTGTTGTTTTTTTGAGAGAGAGGGTCTCATTTTGTAGCCCAGGCTGGCCTTGAACTCTGAGATCCTCCCGCCTCAGCCTCCCAAGTGCTGGGATTACAGCCATGCAAAATCACACCCAGCCTGTGTACGGATGAGTTTTTGTATAAACAAGTTTCCATTTCTCTTCATAATTTTTTTTTTGGTACAGGGGATTGAACTCGGGACCTTGCATTTTTGAGGCAGGCAGCAGAACCACTAGCTAAATCCCCTGCCCTAGTTTCCATTTCTCATGGAGTTGAGTCCAGCTGCCCCACACTGCCCTCAGTACCTGGTATTCTACCTTCCTTCTCAACCACAGGCCTTGCTTTTGCCAATGTATACAGCGGGCAGTATTTCCTTGTGGTTTTCCAGTAGTGAGATGTTTCTGTCACTGTTGTTTGTGGTGCTCAGGATCAAACGCAGGGGCACACTACCATTAAGCAACATCCCAGCCACAAAGTCTCATACGTTGCGTGGGCTGCCCTTGAACTTGTGATCCTTTTGCCTCTGCTCTGAAGGAGCTGGGATTTACAAGCATGCACAACTGTGCCTAGCCCAGTGGTGGGGTTTGATGCATAGATTTTCTTCCAATGAATCACACATTTTCATTGTCATGTCTAATGCCTTTTTTTTGGTACTGGGGATCGAACTCAGGTCCTTGCACTTGCGTAGCAGGCAGCGAAACCACTGAGCTAAATCCCCGGCCCTAAATTCTTAAAACAGCTGATTAAATATAGTCAACACCCAATTTTATTGCTAAAAAATGTCCTCTGGAGTAACAGTATTTCTCCTTGGCCCCAGGGCTCCTGGGAGTGCTTGGTACTATGGAGGAACAGAGGGCCTGAACACAAGATGGGACGTACCACAGAGTGATGTGGTCCCAACATACACACATCATGACACAGCCACAGCTACCTCAATACAAACATCCACTCTGCCATCCCCGTCCACCACCACAGACAGCATCTGCCCGGCCATACACCACGGGGTGACTCTCCTATACCCTGAGATGAGGACCCAGCTGGCTCTGGGCTGGGGGGAAGAGACATTACCACCTTAGATGGGAGACAGCAGCTGAAGACCAGAGATCTGGGGAGATACCATCACACCATCCCATCCACTGTCCAGGAGGGGAACAGGGTCCCATCTCCCCGGAGTGCACAGCCCCCACCCAGCCCCCAGCTTGTCCGTCATCTGACCCTCATGATGCTGATGTCCGGCGTGTCCCCGGCAGGCCAGGCCAGTCCCTCCTGGGCTTCACATGACTGACTCCTTCTCATAGGCAGCACCATCCCCCGCAGGGCTGTGATGACTTCTGAGGAGGGGGTTTCCTTCCTCTGGGGTGGGCAGTGAACCCGAGGGCACCTCACTTTTCACTTGGATCAACTCTGGCTCCGAGCTCTGCAACTTCGTGCGTTCCACATAGTTTTGGAGGAGCCCAGCCCCAAAAGCGTCACCCTCCACATTGATGATGGTACAGGACCGGTCTCTAAAGGGTACAGTGGTCAGGAAGGAAAATGAGAATGGACAGAAGTGAAGGGCCAAGGCCCAGGCCTCCTGCCTCTCCTGCTAGAATCATTACATTCCAAGACAGGGTCTCCCTAAACTGCCCAGGGCAACCTCAAATTTGGGGTCCTGCTGCCTCAGCCTCTCTCCTGCTTGGGATTACAGGCCACCGTGCCACTGTGCAGAGCTTCATATTTACTTTTGAAGCGAAACTGGTTTCTAACTTTTATACTTTCTTCCCCACGCTGTGGATCAAACCCAGGCCTCATGAATGCTAGGCAAGTGTTCTACCACTGAGCTACACTCCAAGCCCTCATATTTTTGTTTTGCTATTTGAGATAGGGTCTCCCTGGCCTAAGCGCCACCTCTGCTCACCACCTTGGCTTACTGCCTTTCTGGGGTTCCTCTTAGAACCCCACAGGCACCAACTCTTCCTGTGGAGCTCTTACTGCCTCTCCTTTTCTGTCTAGACAGGTGCTCAAACACACTCGGGCCCATCTCTTTCCAGGGGTGCCCCGCAGCCCACCAAGCCCACACTCACACCAGCCAGTCTATCGCCAGGATGAGGGAGATGTCTTTGACAGGGAGGCTGACGGCTTGGAGGATCATGGCCAGGGTGAGGACCCCGCCCATGGGTATGCCAGCCGCCCCCACGCTGGACGCCGTGGCTGTGATGCTAGGAGGGAGAGAGGAGCAGAGGTCAAGGGAGGCAGACGCCTCGGTGCTGGGAAGAGAGGGACCAGATGGGTCCAGGGTACCTGGCCGCAGCCCCCACCTCAGGCACTCACAGGATGGTGATGATCTTCACCAAGTCCAAAGGCTGCTGGTTGAGCTGCGCGATGAACACGGTGGCCACACACTGGAAGAGCGCCGCCCCGTCCATGTTGATGGTGGCGCCGATAGGCAGGATAAAGCGGCTGATGTGCTTGGCCACGCCATTGTTCTCCTCCACGCTCTTCATCATCAGGGGCAGCGTGGCGGAGCTGCCAGGGATGCAGCACAGTCAGTGCCCTGGACAGCGAGCCCAGCCCACTCCACTGACCCCGCCCACCCGCCTCCAGGACAGCCCGCCCATCTTCCCAGCTTCCTTTCCAACTGTAGGCTTTTCTCCAGCCACTGCCAGAAGACAGGCACTAAGGATCCTGCAAAATGCCAAGATTCTAAAATAAGTAACCTGGACACTCCTGAGTGTATAAACTGCTACCTTTCAAATACCTAAGGAAAAAAAAAACCAAATACCTAAGGAAGGAAGAAACCTAAGGCAGTGGTTTCCTAAATTTTTAAGGGGTGGGGTGGAATCCAGTACCTTGAGAAACTGATGGAAGTACGGCCCCTGTACCCAGAGCTACTGTCCCCAAACAAAATTTCAGGGCTTCGGATACCCAATCCCAATCCATGCCTCTTTGCCTAAATATCCTGCCCTGGCAAACAACAAGGCACACCTGGAGGAGGTCCCGAAGGCGGTGGCCAGTGGTGTCATGATGCCCCACAGGAAGTGGTAGGGGTTCTTCCGTGTAAAGAGGAAGTAGATGAGGGGCAGGACCAGGAGCCCGTGGATGGCGTGCCCCAGAAGGCAGCACAGGATGTATTTGCCAAGACTGGTGAAGAGCTGCACCGGGTTCGTCTCCATGATCTTGCTGGCCACCAGGAACAAGATGCCCACAGGGGCGTACCTAGTCACCCGGAGACCCAGTTACTGCTACTGACCCATTTCCCAGCCTCCCCCAGCATCAGGAGAGCCCCAGGCAATGCACACTGAAGTACGGGTACCCCCTCCCAGCAGCCTCTGCCGCCTTCCCCCACCTCTCCCTTGAAGGTGGGAGCAGCCAGGAGATAAAAGCCTGAGTGTTTTCATCAACACTTTGAGGAGTATCCTCCAATTTGGACTTCACATCTAAGCAAGACAGAAACATCCATTACATGTGGTCCTTTGTTTTCTGACTTGCTAGTTATAGCAGCCGGTCTGACTTGAACCAATACATTTTATTTTATCAAAAATAAAAAGGTCAGGGCCGGGGATTTAGCTCAGTGGTTCCGGCTCGTGCCTCATAAGCACAAAGTCCTTCGTTCGATCCCCAGTACCAAAAAATTAATTTAAATTAAAAAATAAAAAGGCCACAGCTTCAGATCTTAATAATTCCCACGTATGAGGCATTTACAACACTGAACCTTTGAGCATGACTGAATCATCACAGCAACCCACAAGAGAGCTCCTATTGTAAGTGTGTCTCGAGGACGGCATGTGTGAGGCCAGCCTGGGCTACTTAGCAAGACTTTGTCTCAAAAAAACAAAAAAAGGTTGAGCATGGTAGCACCTGTCTATAATCCCAGCATTCAAGAGGCTGACATGAGGCTCACAAGTTCAAGCCCAGCCTGTGCAACTTAGAGATTCAATGATAATCTGTTTCAAAAAATATTAATTAATTAAATTAAATTAAAAAGGGCTGGAGATGTAGCTCAATATGAAGGCTCTGGGCTCAGTCCCTGGTTCAAAACCAAAAAGATCAATAAAGTGCCGGCATTGGATTCTTAGCACTCATGGAATTCAGCATTGCTGCCATTTTATAAGTGAGGGAACTGAGGCACAAAGACAGCCAGTCACTTGCCCAGAGCCACACAGCCCGGGAATAGTCACTGTCATATTTGAATGTAGCCCCTCTGGCTTCAGGGAGTGGATACAGATTCCCCTGGCCCACACAGACAAACCCCAGCTGTCTCCCACCACCTACCACATGATCCAGGAGACCAGCACCATGGTGGCATCGTTGAAGGAGTTGACGAAGTGGATGAGCAGCTCCCCCTCGGGCCCCAGCTTCCGAAGGGCCACGCCAAAGATGATGGCAAACACTACCAGGCCCAGGATGTTCATGCCCTCCTCTTCCTTCCCCACCTTTGGTGAGAAACAGATGGGGGTGGAAGGAGGGACACTCAGTCCAACTGCCCAGCCACAGAGGACTTGTCCCGGGCACCGCCAAGACCCAGCAGAGCCACTCTGGGCCCAGGGGAAACAGATGTCACCGACTGAGCAGGAACTGGGGAGCCCAGGGGAGGGTGGAAACTGAGAGAGGTACCAGCCTGGGGAGCGCGGGGCATCAGGAAAGGCTTCCTAGAGTAATGGGGTCCTGAATTGAAGATAGGAGAGGTAAACCAGGTAAAGAGGAGTAGCAGAAGTGTCCAGAGAGGAAATAATGTTCAACAGCCAAAAAATGAGCCCAAGTTGTGCATTCAAAGAATGTGAAGAAGCACATGCCTGTAATCCTAGCACTTGGGAGGTTGAGGCAGGAGGCTCACCACAGCCAGCCAGCCTGGGCTATAGAGTGAGACCCTGTCTCATAAAACAAACTAAAAATCCATGGCAGCTAGAGAAAAAGTGGAACAGAGAAGTTGTGAAATGAGGCTGGAGTCTGACCCCACAGGGACTCACTGTGCACGGGCTATGGCAAGCAGCCGGGGCTCTTTCCTGAGGACATTATGGGACACACCAGGCTCTGGTGGGTGGACAGCCAGTCAGATTTACACTGTGGGAAGACCCCTCTGGCTGCCAGGTTGGGGACAGGATGGGCTAGCATCGGGGGTTGGTAAATAGGGAAGGAGGAGCCTGAAGTAGGGTAGAGTCATAGGGAAGAAAAATCAAGGACAAAGTAGAGATGCATTTAGAGGGTGGAAAAGGCTGCAGCTGGCAAAAGATTGCAGAGTTTAAATCAAAATTCCACACCAGTTAGAAGACCCAGAATGCAGATAAAGACAGACAAGAAGAAAACCAGAAAACCACAGTAGGATCCTGATCCCACAGCCCTTGGAGCTCACCTTCCCCTTGGTGTGGTTGCAAAGCCCATCTTCATAGGTGGTGGTGTACTGCAGGCGGGATTGAAGAGTCAATGTCACTGTCACAGAGCCCCTCATCCCCCCACGGCAACATGCTCAGAGCCTGCCCTAACCAGACTTCCCCTGCCAGCAACCCCACCAAGACAGGTCTGTTAGCACCCCATTTCCTGGAGGTAGAAACCACGGCTCAGCGGCAAAGCCAACTGCCTGATCAGGTGTCACACAGCTAGAATGAAAACCCACAGGAGGCTCCAAACCCGTATTCCTGCTCCTCCTGGGGAAAGGTAGAGCTGGGTTTCGAAGGCTGCCCAAAACCCTACAAAATCACATGTAATGTGTGGCCATGCGCTTTCTGCCAGGCATGGCCCAAAGGTTGGTGACAAGGCTACAAGGGGCTGTCTCCTTCTCTGCCCCCCTGCCACACAGGGGACACCTCTGAGGACTTACTGAGCGGAAAGCTGCGGACACCAGGTTGGAGGGAAAGATGTTTCTGTAGAAAGACAGAGGGGTTATTAAACGCAACTGTGGGGGGAGGGCAGGAGTGCACTGGTTGGGGGTGGATTGGCCTCCTGGAGGGGAGTGAAGGAAACTTTTGAGGTCCTATCTGTACCCAAATGTGAAATGTGACACCCCCCACACACACGTATGTCCTGCCAGGGTTCAGACACACATTTGGAATGCTTGCACACTTTCTGGCGTGGGAGTCTGAGCTGACCTCCTCTGGCCCCTGAAGGCTGGCATTCCAGTCCCAGACCATTGTGGCTTGGAAGTAAAGAACGCTGGGCCCCAGAGTGGGGTCACCCGGGCCTTAGCTCCACCCATGCAGCAAACTTAACACCCCAGCCCTCTTGCATCAGCCGCTTCCTGGAGAACTGAGAAAAGGGCTGGTCCTTGAAGGGCCCTCGGGCAGGGAAGGGTGTGTGATTCAAAAGGATCTGGGCGTGTGGGAAAGTGGAAGTGAGAGGCCAAGAGAGGACAGCAGGGGAGGCCCAGTGTGACATGAACACGCATATGCACTTACAGTGGGGTCCTGCCTCCCATGAGGGAGTAAGAGCAGCTGACCAGTTCCAGACCAGTTCCAGTCCCTCTCAGGGACCAGTCACTGCAGTCACCCTAACTCACTCTATCCTCACAGCGGCCCCGGGACAAGCACTATTACCATATTTCACAAAAAGGGAAACTGAGGCACACAAGGGCAACAAACTTGCGCAGCTAGGAAGTGACAGAGCTGGGATTTGAACCTGGCCACTCCCTCAGGAGTCCTCACTCCCTGCATCCTCCCTCTCCCAAAGACCAGGGCTAAGATCAGATATTCAGGGGCAGTGCCAGCACGGCCAGGCTATGTGGTGTGGTGGAGCAGCATTACGTGGAAGGTCACACAGGTGTGCAATGGACGTGTGCGTAAGTGTGGGTTCAGGCATTCCTGAGGCAGGTGGCATCGCTGGGCATCACTAAAGAGTGTTAGCACACAGTGTGTGTGTCTGTGTGTGTAACAGCTGCTGTAAGGCCACGTGTCTGAATGTCTCTGGGCGCCTGTGTCCAGCTGCATGTCCACTGGTTAGAAGGCTGGGTGACTGTGGCCAGTCAAGTGTGAGTCACAGCTGTTTTGCCACTTTTGAGGGGCGTAAGGAGCTGGTGCTCATAAACAAACAGCCCGGAGTGGGTGTGCCCACCTGCCTCCCAGGGCTGGGCCAAGACCCAGCTAATCTCACCCAGCCAGGAGGCGTCACTCACTGCACACAGGGAGAGCAGCTCTGCGGAGTCTCCCATCTCACCATACTAATGTCCCCGGGGCGGGAAGACCCTATTCCATGACTCATAGTTTCCTCCCCCAACTTCCAGGAAGTCCCCAACCTGGAGACACTGAATCAGAGGCCTTAAAGGCAAAGAACATGGGAACCCCACCGTCTTCCCTATGGGGAGTGGAGGGTAGAAGGAATCAAATCTGCTCCCCTTCCAGGGTGGCAGGGCTGACCTACAAGACAGAAAAGGGAAATGCCCAGGCCAGCTGAACTGGGAGGGAGGAGAGGCTCAGAGACAGGTGTGTCTGGGTGACACGTGGTGTGGCAGCCCTCGGGCTGGGAAGGAGGGGGCTCTTCAGATCCCCTCAGGTCCTCCAGGAGCTCCTTACCCAAGACTCCCAATCCCTCTAATACTTGTCCTAAATCTTCATCTCAAAAGCCCCACATCATGGAGTCCTTGGACACCCAAAGATTCCCTCCCATTGCCTCAGATATGCAGCTGTTGGGGAGGATTAGCATGAAGCTTCGTCCAGTTGGGAGGGTCCTCAGGCTCCCCGCCCCCACAGGGTCCATTGCCTCTGAACAGACTTATGTCCCCCGACTCCCGAGCATTACTCTTGCTTCTCCAAGACCTCCTTGCCTATCACCCTCATGCAGGGTCCTGCTTATTATACACCCAGGCCTCTAGATTTAAAAGCTGCCCCCCCCCCCGCCAGGAGTTTGGCCTCACTGTCTAGTGACCAGAGCCCCCAGACAGCAACCCTAGGGAGGGACACTTCACTCTCCAGGACTGAAAGCCCTTTCCTGTCCACGTGGCCACCGCCATGTTCCTAGCAGGGGGCCCATCCCACCCCACTCGGGGATAGAGAGGACGTCTGACCTCACAAGATCCAGAAAGGCATCCAGCACCTCCTTCCTGCAGGTCGTTTCCGTGAGTTGGACTGTAGAGATGTTGATAGAGGTAAAGGCGGCTCCGGGCTGCAGCACTAAAGCCAAGCCCACGCCGAGCGCCGATGCGATCAGGGTGGTGACCAGGAAAAAGAGCAGCGCCCAGGCGCCCAGGCGGCCGAGCGCGCTGGGGTCCAGGCTGGCAGCGCCGCCGATGAGGCTGCACACCACCAGCGGCAAGATGATCATCTTCAGCAGGCGCAGCAGCAGCTCCCCCGGGAAGGAGAACGCCACCATGGCATCGGGGCTCAGTGTGCCGCCAGACTCCGACACCCCCAGCCCCAGCGCCACGCCGGCCACCACGGCCACCACCGTCAGCAGCACCAGCAGGTTGGCTCGCAGGCAGCGACGCACCTGCTGGCGGGAAGCGCAGCAGCTACGGGCCGTCGCGACTCTATCCTCTGTGGGACCCAGCTCCGGGCCACCGTTGGCGGTGGGCTCCGCCGCTGCGAGCCCCACCATGATGGGGCACGCCGGGGTCCTAGACGCCAGGAAGCTAGGGGCGCTCGGGGCTCCTTCGCAGGACACGTACTTAGGCGAAGAGCTGGGTAAGTGCGCCCGGAGGCTGCAACTTCGCGGGGCCTCAGAGCCGGAGTTCAGAGCTCTCAGCAGCTGTAAGGTGGGCGCCCTCGATAGGGCGTCCCGGCTCCTGTGCTCCTCCCGGCGGTGTTGGATGCTCCAAAGCGCCTGGCCCTCGCAGGTCTGGGTGTTGGGAACACAGGAGTTTCTCAGGCTGGGACGTGAGGTCCTCGGCTCCCGGTGGCCGACAGCGCCCAGGTGGCGTAGATCCGGGACGTCTGACTTCGGGAGGCGGGGATCCCGGGTCCTGGAAACCGAGGGCTAGGGCGCCGGAGCCTGGAGCCAGGAAGCGGACTCCAGGAAGAAGGAATTTAAGACTCCCGGGTCCGGAAGGGGAAATCCAGGCTCCTGGGTACGGAAAGTAGCGGCCCGGGACTGAAGAAAATAGTGACCGTCACCCAAACAAAAGCGCCCCAGCGCGCGCCGAGGGACTCCGAGCCCGCCCGGCGGAAGCTGCCCGGATTAAGGGCGGGGGCGGGGCTTGAGAAAGCGGGAGCCCAACCTTCGAGCTCCGATTTGCTGCACCGCGTTCCAAGCGCTACGGGGAGAGAGGGGCGGGGCTGCGACTCGACTCGAGAGGGGCGGGGCTGCGACTCGAGAGGGGCCAGTACCCAAAGTAGGCTAAAAAGCGCCTCGCCGGGCGTGGGGGCGCACGCCTGTAACCCCAGCACTCCGAGGCTGAGGCAGGAGCATCGCCGCGAGTTCGAGGCTACTCTGGGCTGCATAGTGAGTTCAGGGCCAGCCTGAGCTACAAGGCGAGACCCTGTGTTCAAAAAACAAAAAGTATAGGGCGTGGCCTGTAGGGGGCGGGGCCAGGGAGGACCAAAAGTGGTACAGAAGGGGCGATGCGTTGGGAAATTGACCCCTCCCAAAGAAATTGCTTTGTGGGTTGGGTTCACTCCACTTTGTGGAGGGTCTTTGCCAATCAGCTCAGCTTCGTACTTGTTAGTCCTGAGTGACAAACCTCTCAGAATTTAAGTTCCTCCGTTGTAAAATGCAAATGATAGAAGCTCATCCCTTACATGTTTGCTATAAGACTTGATTGAGACACAGTTATTCATTGAATAATGTTTACAGTTTATGTATGTATTTATTTATTTAGAGACAGGGTCTTGCTATATAGCCCAGGCTGGCCTTGAACTCACGATCTTCCTGCCTCAGCCTGTGAGTGCTGGTCCAGGTGTTTTGTTTTGGTTTTTTGGTACTGAGGATCGAACTCGAGACCTTGCGCTTCCAAAGCAGGCGCCAGAACCACTGAGCTAAATCCCCAGCCCCCAAGTACAGGTGTTTAAATAAATGTTTCCATCTGGGTGCAGTGGCATGGTTGTGTTATCCCAGCAACTTAGAGGCTGAGGTAGGAGGATGGCTTGAGCCCAGGAGTTTGGGGCCCGCCTGGGCAAACCAGACAGACCCCACTTCAAAAAATAAATGGTCGGGCCGGGGATTTAGCTCAGTTATGCGGCTGCCTGCCTGGTAAGTGAAAGGTCCCGAGTTCACTCCCCAGTACCAAGAAAAACAGATGCTCATGTAGTCTGACATTATCTCTACTAATACCTGGGACAGCCTCACTCTCCCAGTTTCCTGACTTGGAAGCAGATGAAAGTAATGAAGTTTTCAGGGGCCTAGACCCACTGCCTGAGCAGAGGATTTGAACTCAGGCGTCTCTATGGGCTGGGGATTTAGCTCAGTGGCTGCGCCGCCTGCTGCGCAAGTGCAAAGACCTGAGTTTGATTCCTGGTACTCCAAAAAAACCAAAAAAACCCCAATGAACTCAGGCATCTCTGAGCCCAGTCTGCACCCTCATCTTCCATGAGACACCGTGAGGACTCCTGCCCTGGCTCCCTTCCAGGAATGGACATTTCCTTCGAGGGACTCATTTACCCTGAGCACAGAGTCAGGTCCTGTGATGAGTAGGGTTGGGGACCCAGCAGTCACTTTAGGTGGACTTTAGTTGCCTAAAGTTCAGTGGTAGAGACAGAGCCACCCTCATAGCGATGACACAGTAACAGGGATGGGAGGCAGGGGATCCTTGGGGAGGAGAAGGTGTCCAGCTGGAACACAAAGAAGTCAGACTGCTGTGGGTTGAAAATGGTTTGTCCCCTTGTGCTGAGCATGGTGGCGCATGCCTGTAATCCCAGCACTCTGAGGCTGAGGCAGGAGGATCTCCAAGAGTTCAAGGCCAACCTAGGCTACATAGTGAGTTCAAGGGCAGCCTGAACTATATAGCAAGACTCAGTCTCAAAAAAACAAAAAAAGAAAAAGAAAATAGTTTGTCCCCAATTCAGGCAGGGATTTGATCCCCCAAAGACTTACAGTGATGGGATGGTGTTAAGAGGTGGGGAACTTAATCTAAGTATCATCCTTAGGGCTGTGGCCCTGGGAGATGGTTAATTTAGATTAGATTGACTAGGTGGCTTGATGAGGAAATGGAGCTGGGCTTGGTGGCTCCTGTCTGTAATCCCAGCTGTCTGAGATGCTAGGGCAGGAGGATCAAAAGTTGGAGCCCCTGGGGGCTGGGGATTTAGATCAGTGGCACCGAGCCTACCTTGCAAGTGGAAGGTCCTGAGTTCCATCCCCAGTAACAAAAAGAAAAAAAAAAAAAAGTTGGAGCCCGGGCTGGACAACTTGGTGACTTCAAAATAAAAAATAAGAAAAGGCAATAAAGTAGCCAGCCTCAGGTATTTCATTAGAGTAAGAAAAACTTACTCATCCACAGCCTATTCCAGACAAAGGGAATGACACATGCAAAGCCACAGAGCTGAAGAGTTGGGAATGTCCCGAAGCACACATCTAACCTAGTTGTCCCCTTCCTCTGGACAGCTCCATGGCTTCCTGCAGAGTGAGGTCCAAAGTCCTCAGCTGGGCATCAATCCATTCAGTAGTTAATTCCTTCAATTCCACAAACCACATGCACAGAGCAGAATGCCAAGAGCATTAAATACCAGGAGATACCCCATGTGTGACGCTGACCTTGGATGGTCTCCAAGATTCATCCATTGGTTTAACCTCAGAAGATGCTCCAGTCCCTCATGTAAAATGGTATAATGTTTCCCAGCACCTATGCACTGCCTCCTGTTCGTGTGTGTGGTGCTGGGGGTTGAACCCAGGACCCCACACATGCTGGGCCATTGCTCTGCCACTGGCCCACACTCCTAGCAATTTTTATTTCTTTATTTTGAGGCAGGGACTTGCTAAGTGGGTGGCCTCAAACTGGGGATCCTCCTGCCTCAACCTTCTGAGTAGCTGAAATGATACATGTACACTGCCATGCCCAGTCTGTAATTTTTTGATGCCAGGGTTTGAACCCAAGTGCTGGTGCATGTTAAACTCTACCACTGACCAACACCCTAGTCAAGAAATATTTTTAAGAAGGGAGCTGTTTGCCCTTTTTGTATTTTCCTAGCATAAGGACTCTTAATATTTTGAGTACACAGTGAAGGCCAAAGAAAGGTGAAAAAACAGAGATATAAGTACTGCTGCCAGGTGCAGTGGCTCACGCCTGTAATCCCAACACTCAGGAGGCCGAGGCAGGAGGATCACTGTGAGTTCAAGCCCAACCTGGGCTACATACCCAGACCCTGTCTCATAAAAACAAAACAAAGTCCTCCTAATTGATCCAGAAGGCAATGTCTGAACTCCCCAAAAGCTTTCATATATTATCAGCTGAGATTGTAACAGTCTTTTCCTCAATTTTTTTTTCTTGGTACCAGAAATCGAACTTGGGTCCTTGTGCTTGCAAGGCAGGTGGCAGAACCACTGAGCTAAATCCCCAGCCCTTTTCCTCAATTTTTATAGCTAAAAGGATGAGAATTGTTCCAGAAATGCTTGCCAGCAACTCCTGCTTTCTCATCCAGATGAGTCAAATGTATTCTGTAGTAATTTACAATGCTTATACAACAGTCTCATGTGAATAGATCGGTAAAATTAGCAAATAGATTTTTTTAAAACCCACAGATACAAGTAGAGGCTGAATACTCTTAAGTGAAATAAATAGGACACACATGTGTAAATACCAAATAGTTTCTCTGGTGTGAAAATCTAAAAGTGTAAATAAGGATTGAAATGTATAATTGATAATTGAAATAGGAAGAAAAGGTCTAAAGGAGTAGGGGAAGTGGGAAGGGGAGGGGAAAGGAAAGAAGGGAAATGAAAAAAACATGAGAAAAGGAAAAAATGGAAACAAAGCCTTTGTAAATAGGGAAGGGTGGAGGGGGCGAAGGGAGGGCAGGGAATAGGGAAAAAATAAGAACCAAGATCCATCACGTAAAGGTACAAGATCCCAACGATGAATGCAACTCTATTGTATACCTAAAATGTACTGATAAACTTAATAAAAAAGAAGTACAGGCTAAGATGTGTCTATTTCTAAGAAGGAAGAAGGAAGATGGTGCAGACTGGCACCATATCACCTGTGAGCAAAAGTGAGCCAGGAGTGGCAGTGCACACTTGTATTCCCAGCACTTGGGAGGCTGAGGCAGGGGGATCACCTCAAGTTTGTAGCTAGCCTGGGCTACACAGTGAGTTCAAAGCCAGCCTAGACTACATAAATGCTGCAGGAATTCTAAGAAACCACTAAAAGTGATTACACTGAGGAAGGAATCTGAGACTTTGAAGTTCAGCATGGGCACCGAAGACTCTGCTTTCATGGGCTCAGATGCTCCGTGGCTAAGGGACCAAATCACTTTGCTCTCTGGCCTCAGTGAGCTCAGTTTGCCGCAGTGCAAAATGGGGATGATTTCATAGAGGTGGAGAGGTGATCAGAGGGAAGTGTGTATACAGTGCTCTAGGGTCAGGGAGGTAGCTCAGTGGTGCTGCCACCTGCCTCTCAAGTGCAAGGTCCCAAGTTGGAGCCCTGGTACCAAAATAAATAAATTAAATAAAATAAAAAATAAAGTGCTCTGGCTGAGCGCCACAAATGTCACCCCCATGCTGGGGCCGGGGCTCAAAACAAGAGCACTTGCCTAGCATGTGTGAGGCCCTGGGTTTCATCTTCAGCACTAAAGAAAGAAAACACTCTACTCCCCTCCCCCCAGGTATTGTAAAGCAACAATGACCCCCGGGGATTGGATCTGGAGAATGCTGAATCCTCAGCCCTTTTTTGTTGTATTTCTTTCTTTCTTTCTTTTTGTTTTTCTGAGATGGGGTCTTGCTATGTAGCCCAAGCTGATGGTGAACTCACAATGATCCCCCTGCCTCAGCCTCCCCAGTGCTGACACTACAGGCAAGGATGTGCCATCACTCTTGGCTTATTTTTATTTTTTTTATGCCTTCAGGAGCGTGTTTATTGTGTTTGAGATGATACATCAGTGCTCTCTGGGCCACAAATGGTAAAAGGAAATCATTACAAACTGCCAAAGGTAAAAGGTAAAGCATTTTCACAACAGCATGAACCACATACTCAGAAACAGATCTGGGTTTAAAATAAATGCATTAATTCCTAATCATCTATTGC